ATGATAGTTCTACATAGGGTTTCCCTTGGTCTTCCACGAGATCTTTTCCCCTGTGGTGTCCAAATGAGGGCTTGGTAAGGAAGTCTTGATTTATCCATTCTAAGGGCGTGGCCGACATAGTTCCAGCGACGTTTTCGTATAAAATTAGACAAATACTCTTGCCTGGATTCTTGCCTTATTTGTGTAATTGTTCGGGAAATCTGACCATTTGAAATTTAGTATTCTTATTATAGATATTAGATTGCTATAAACATAGCTTGCTTTATAGATATGTGAATTACCATAAACATAGCATGCTTTATAGATATGTAGATTGCTATAAACATAGCATGCTTTATAGAATTGTAGTTTGCTGTAAACATAGCATGATTTATAGAAGTGTAGATTGCTATAAATGTAGTATGCTTTATAGATAGTAGATCGCTATAAACATAGTATGCTTGATAGATGTGAGATTTCTGTAAACAAAGCATGCTTTATAGATATATAGATTGCTATAAACATAGTATGCTTTACAGATATGTAGATCACTATAAACATAGTATGCTTTATAGATGAAAATGCAATTGTTATGTGGAAGATGAGCATTTAGAAGTGCCAGGTGTAAGACTAGCTTGCATGCTGAGCTTGTGACCCTTCAAAAATAGTTTGGTCGTTTGTTCTCTCGATATCATTCTCCCATTGTTTCATTGTCTACCTCTTGCTGAGTTGCCATCAGCTGTTCTTTAATGCGTGTATCCTTTATCTTCAGACAGAGAAAAATGAATCACCTGCAGCTGGGGTTAGCACATCATCTTCGTTGTCATCAAAAACAAATAACGCAAAGAAAGCTGAGCCAAAATCACGTATTGCAAGCATGTTTGCTGCTGTTACAGCCACTGTCGGACAGAAGAAGGGGGAAGATGAGGTGGCAAAATCAGCTGCTTCAAAACCAAGTGACAAGAAAACTGTCAATGGCAGTAATAAGGTTTGTGGAAGTGTTTATGTCTGTATAGAGCACTGACAAGGCTGGTAATTTATTGCCAGTAATAAGATTTGTGTCGGTGCAGAGAACTAGTGAAGTTGTTATTGTTAGTTCAGTGCGCATAATAAAATTTGTGTCATGTAGGGCACTAGTGAAGTTGTTAGTTCAGTGCCAGTAATAAAATTTGTGTCATGTAGGGCACTAGTGAAGTTGTTATTGTTAGTTCAGTGCGCATAATAAAATTTGTGTCATGTAGGGCACTAGTGAAGTTGTTAGTTCAGTGCCAGTAATAAAATTTGTGTCGTGTAGGGCACTAGTGAAGTTGTTAGTTCAGTGCCAGTAATAAAATTTGTGTCGTGTAGGGCACTATTGAAGTTGTTAGTTCAGTGCCACTAATAAGATTTGTGTCCATAGCATTACACAGACGCACACACACTTGCGCTTGCATACACACACAGAGATATATATATAAATATACATACATTCATTCATTCATACACATTGACACATAAGGAAAAGTGATGAGCAAGGTAACTGGCTGTCTCAGTTCGAATGTCATTGCTTAAAATATGTGAAAACCTAACATTTTGCACCCCTGCAATAGTAACAGCTGTAGCTCTACCTGTTATACACATATTTGTATTGATTTGATGTTTATGTTCAGGTAAACCCCACTGAGAAAAAAGGTGGGGTTCGAAGCTTCTTCAGTACAAATGCAGCTAGCAAAAAGTCCCCATCAGAAAATGGCAACTCAAAACAGGCTGTGAAAACAGAGGAGTAAGTGTTTTTGATTAGCATGTTGTTCACATATATATATATATATATATATATATATATATATATATATATATATATATATATATATGTGGTGTGTGTGTGTGTATATTATGTTGTGTTTTGTTTTACTTGTTGCTTGCTTAAGCAAACTTTAAGAACAATACATAAATCTTGAAGAGGTGATGTCACAGAATAATTCTTAGAAAATCCTTCCAGACTTCCTTTAAGTTTTGGACATGAAAAGAAACTTGTTTATAAGCTGTTTTATATCTTGGAAAAATGAATCATTTGACCATAAGGCTCGCACTCGATTCCTCCACTCCACTTTATTGCATGTAGCTCTCGATTTCTGACATAGACTTCATTCAGCCTAGCGTTTGAAGCTTCTTGTTATTGTGTTCCTCTTAATATTTCCTTTAGACGTCATCTTTTTCTCAGACCATTTGATTCCCACTTGAGAACTTGTTTTGTAATTCTTTTTTAATTTTGTCTCACAGTGTGCCCAATATATCTCCACCTTCTTTGTCTTATTATAGTAGACACAAGTATTTATCCAGACATTTCTCTAATCTCCTTTTTAAAAAATTCACCCTATTTTATGTTGATTATTTTTCTCAGCATTTTATTTTCAAAAGCATTTAGTTTTTGTTCCATATTTTAGGTTTTTCTACAACTTTCGCCAGCATATTTTAGAATTGAAATAATGTTAAAATTGAAGATTCTTAGTTTGGCCTTGAAACTGTATAACTTGGAGCTCCAAATTTTGTTAAGGCTTTTAAAGACTATTGTTGCTTTGATGGTGTATATCATAATTTCCTTGATTGTGTCTTCTTGAGAGTCAAAATTGCTACCCAGATATGTGAAATGGTTCATTAGTTTTATTGGTTTGTTCTCTAGCATGATCTGTTGTTGTTATCTTTAATATGTTTGTTTTCTCATAACTTATTTGTATTCCTAATTTTGATGCTGTAGATGACAAATCGTCTCTTTTTTCTTTGCATGTGTCTTTGTAATTTTTGCTTAACATTACAGTATCATCTGCACAATCTAGATCTTTGAGTTTTCTTTTTTTGTCACATTATCAATGCCTTTACTAATCAATGGCTGCTTCGAAAAACAAGGAAGATAGAATGCATCCTTGTTTTACTCCAGTTTCCACCAAAAACCAGTCACTTAGACCATTTCCAGTACACACTGCACATTCTGAACCATCATATAAATTACCTCATTGCAGTGTTTGGGGATGATGATAAGATTTTCTGTGTGCTCTTTTCTTATGTGTTGAACAAGGTTTTCTTAATTTCTTTCAAGTTGTTCTAGATGCTGTAGCATGGTCTTTCTCTTGCTCTGTATTCATTATATTTATTCAGCCTGTGGCGCTCTGTAGTAGTTGGCACTAGGGCATTCTCTGCAGATGGCCAAACCATCTCTTTTGTTGCTCTTTAATGAATTTTGTAACTGGTTTCTGACCTAGTGCACTTGTTATTGCCTGACATAATTTTGCAGTATCTTGTCAGTTACTTTTACTACAGACCTTTATCAAGATATTATGAAGTACAGAACATAAATCTTTTTAACTGAAATGCACATTGTCTCTTGTTCCACTGTACGTCTCATCATGGATGTCTTAACCGCATGATCCTTTCGTTTGCATAATGCAGGATAGTCACTGTTTCTGGAGGAGTGGTTTTGTTTTTAACTGTGATTTGAATAACAGGCTGTTGACAATGTTTTCAATAAAGCTGTTGACATACTAATGCGGAATTCTTTGTATTTTCTCTCAGGGAGCTAGTAATAACAGCAAAAGTGGAAGAATCAGGTAATATCTTTGTAGTTTTGACACAGGTCATTTTGTTCCTCTCTGATCCTCTTTCAAGAGAAGCACGTCATATCTTTATGCATTTCTTTCTCAGAGGCCAGTATGTGACTTCTTCTTGCATTTGTTAATAGTTTACTTCCTGTGGACCCGTAGGAATTCTCAGGAAAAAAAAAACTCCTTTAGAACTAGTCATATTTTTTTTACATTTGGGGCATGGGAAAAGAGGGGAGTGGTGGTAATCATCATCAAGTACCTTGCCAGCTGGCATGGGTGCTTATCCCGGTCCTTGGTGTTCTCAATCAATTCCTCTGATGATATTCCTCCCCATGCCACTGTCTTCAGCTATCCATCATTGCTTCTATTGGTCTCGTGAAGCAATAAATAGAATGCCTTCCCCCTAAACCCTCTAAATGCTACTTTTAGTTACTGTATTCATATCCATAATGAGAATTGTGACTAGTGGAAGAGAGGTAGAGGCAGACCAAAAGAGATTATGCTGGATGGGCTGAAACGATGGCATGGATGGATATCATAAAGAGAGCTGCTCCGGGCAACTAGGGATCGTGATTTGTGATGTATGAGCACCTCCGCCATTTGGCAAGATGTTGATGATTTATATCCAGGCCTGATAGACACTGCGCATATGCATACAGGACCAATGGATTTCAACTACACATTTCGAGAACAGATCATCGCCAGTTGTGGTGATATATTGGCGATTATGGCACTGTGGTAAAAATGGAAATGACTAGATTTAGTTTTCTCTGGGCGACAGGATTAAGGGATGTTGGTCTGTGACTGGCTACCTAAGCCTGTTTAAAATGAATAAAAAATGCTGCAACATCCAATCAGTCATAAATGATGCACCAAATTCTTGACCTGAGTCGGCTAGAGATTAAAGACAAAGAAATATTTTTTTTTTAACGTTTATTTAGCAACTTAGAACTTTTTTTTTAAATAGAAATAATTTTTTTTTTTTTTTTGGGGAAGTTTTTTTTAAAATAATTTTTTTATTTTTGTAATGCAGATGAAGAACCAGACAGGAAGCGAAGGAGAAGGATTCGAACAGACTTGTTTGACAGCAGTGAGAGTGAAGAGGAGGAGGAACCTGTTGAGGGTGAGAGTGGCATTGGACAGTTGTCTGTAATGTTTATTTCATTGGCTTTCTTTTGTCTCAGAAATAGGAGTCAGTAAAAGCTTATCTCTGTCAATCTTTTCTTATCTATGTCTCTGTCTGTCTATCTATCTTTATGTTTGTCTATATTTAATTCACAGTATGCCTGTTTTAACATGAAATTAGGTTATGAGGGTTTATGACCGTTTCATGTAAAAATAATTGTGGTTGTCTTTCTTTTCCCAGAGACCTCTGATTTCAATTTTAATTGGTTATTTTCCCCAAGCTTCTCACCTAATGTTAGTATTTACCTCCATAATCTCATCTATCTTTGTTTATCCCCAGAATCCTACATGTGGCTGTTTATCTCCAGAATCTTACATGCGGCTGTTTATCTCCAGAATCTCACCTGAGGTTGTTTACACACAGAATCTCACCTGTGGCGGTGTACCCCCCAGAATCTCGCTTAAGGTTGTTGACCCCCCAGAACCTCACCTCAGGTTTTTCACTCCCAGAACCTCACCTCAGGTTTTTTACTCCCAGAATCTCACCTGTGGCTGTTTAACTCCAGAATCTCACATGAGGGTGTTTACCCAAAATCTCACATGAGGATGTTTACCCAAAATCTCACTTAAGGATGTGCAACATTCCTATTTTATAACTGTTGATCATTTTTGCTGTCCAGGTATTCAGTAACACGTCAGTTCTTTCACTTCAAGTATTCATTCATACAGACAACCTTCGCTCATGCTGGTCTCACACCAAATGCTTCTCCTTTCTCTCACCTCAGTTTTTCCTTTCGGCCACAGTTGACTTACTTCGGGGAGCTTCCTTTACGCATGCATCTGATTTTTTTTGGGGGGGGGGGGGGGGGGTCTAATGTATACTTCAATCTTTCTACTTTTTTAAATGAGTGCCTATCAATACATTGTCTGCTTGTTTATCATCTGCACATTCAGATGACATGTTTCCATTTTTATTGATATTTTAGGATCAGGATTAATAAACTGTCCTCTTTCCTATTGCAGAGTTGGATCACAGGACATTAGGGGGAGATCGAGAAAGTCCTGTCTTATTTGAATCGGAAAATAAAGATGATGATGAAGAGAAAGACAAATCCTCCAACACTGTTGAAGTGGAAGAATGTTCAAAACCTTCTAGAATTTTGGAAAATGTAGAAAACACGAATAGTATCTCAAATGGTGGAGAGCGGAAGAGAAAGCGAGCAAAGAAGACCGTCACGAAGCAGTACCAGGATGAGGAAGGGTTTCTGGGTAAGAAATGGAGAGCCTTCGCATTAGTTAAATCTTGTTGTAGTTTTGAAAAGTGTCTTGTTTTATCTTTAAAATTCTGTCTGTCTCAACTTTCACAAGTATTTCATCTCATCTTTGAATAATATCTGTTTCATCTTTGAAAAACATTTTGTCTGATATTTGAAAAATGCTTGGTAATCTCATTTAGACAATGTATTTTGTCTTCTTAAAATTGCGACTTTTGCAATGGTAGTGCTTATAGTAAATTTTCAGTTAATGTTTTTGGTGAGTTCCCTTGTCGATGGCACATAAGCAAATGTTCTGATAATGGCGGTTGATCGTTAGGGCCGCATGGTGGAAGAGTTTGGGGAATATTCCTGATGCTATGGGACATTGGATTCTTTTAAATCAGAAAGTGAAGGTGAAGATATTTCTGAACAGTTTGATGACTGATATTGATAATTCTTACAAACCGCCATCAAAAACATCGCCAAAACTGAAAGACAGTGTTTCGCTTAGGGAAAAGATTGTTTTTGTGGCTTTTCAAGTTCGACAGTTCAGTCACCCTGTATCAACAGACAGCCAATAAATGTGCAGTTTTATTTCAGTTAGGCAGAGCTTTTATCCAAGATTATTTAAAAACAAACAAACAAACAAGACAATTTAGTTCTATTAATGTCGGAACATTTATTGATTGCTGTTTTTTTTCACCACATGTTGATGATGATGCACAACAAGATTACGCAGTTCTTGTTCTTGAAATCCATTAAATTTGGTGCAAAAATACAAAACATTTTAACTTTATGTTAAACAGTTGTGAAACTGGAATTTTTTAGTGCACACTAAAATGTGTGCTATCTGAAAATGTGCGAGGGTTAACAGGCGAGGTAGTCAGTGTGGCAGGCCTTTGCTCTATTTATAGATAAAGGGTGGAACAAGAAGTATAAAATATCTATATCATGGTCTGCTCCCATTCAACTCACTTGTATGTGCATTTTTTTGGTTTTGGGGTGGGGGGGGGGGTCGCCTAGATTGATTTATACAAAATTATTTTGAAAATGTGGATCTATATCTATCACCATAAGAGCGATCAAACAGTGGCAGGGAAAAGGCTCCTTCAGTTACTTATTTGTGTGTTGCCTGCATCAAAGAGAGCAGGAGGTGCAAGTATGAACTCACCCTTGTGATACTGGTCCCATAGAGCACGTAAAGAATATTAGCACCCTAATAAACAGTTTATTAGAGGACTAAGGGTAGTTTTAATTTTGATACTGACTACCTTGAGGAACTGGAAAGAGCTGGTATAACAACAGTTTTCTCAGTGCTCAGTCTTCGAAGGCTTGGATGACTGAGACACAGATGGAGTCCCTAAGGACATCCTGTATGGCTAAGTACAGATGGGTAGAAGATGACGACATCAGCCTCCACTAGAATATAAAGATGTATGCAAGCGAGACATGAATGATATGGGTATTGAGGTGGCTTTGTGGGATCAGCATGCCATGGGCTGTGTTGCCTGGTAGGGGTAAAATCGGGAAAGGATAAGGGAGAAAATGATCGCAGATAGATTTAGAACTGAGCCTCTGAGCAGCACATTAAATACTTGCAATGGCAGCAGTGGTCCTTAAATCCAGTGCTGTAACTGTTAAGAGCTTCTTAACATAAGCAGGTCTCGCCAGTTACACTCCCCATCCCCACTGGCTCTGATTCCCATGGCAACCTATTGGTTGGTGCTGCAAAAATTGATGAATTGATACATAAAAACCTGGACTCTTAAATGCAGTGCTGTAAGTGTTAAGAGCTTCTTAACATGAGCAGGTCTCACCAGTTACACTCCCCATCGCCACCGGCTCTGATTCCCATGGCAACCTATTGGTTGATACTGCAGAAATTGATAAATGGATACATAAAAACCTGGACTCTTAAATCGAGTGCTGTAACTGTTAAGAGCTTCTTAACATGAGCAGGTCTCGCCAGTTACACTCCCCATCGCCACCGGCTCTGATTCCCCCTATAGCAAATGTCTAAAAAGACAAAGGTTCCAACAACGGCTGCCCTATCACATTATGTTGATGTTTACTTAATATTATCTAGGGGAGGGGGGGAAGCAAGGGATAGTAATACCAATCTGCCAAGCGTTTGTTGTACAAGGTGACTAACAAGAGTTGTTCTTGAGCTTAATCAATTATGAGGTGGTTGAAGGTATGTTGAGTTGAGTTGAGAATCAACATCACAGCACTCATAGGTGCTGTGTCCCCATTTGCAGCAGCCAGTGAAGTTCCAGTTTTGATGATATCAGTAGCACTCTGGTTGTATGTCTGTCTTGCCTTGTTGAGTATTGGCCAGACACTCTGGTCACTCCCAGCTGCAGCATTCTTTCCAGATTTTATTGATCTTTACGCACTTCCGCTTGGCCAATTTTTGCAGTACCAACCAATCTGTCTGGCTGTTCAGTTCCCAACACACCTATGTATTCTAGAGGAAAGATCCAACGAATTCTAACTATCATGTCCTTCTGAAGCCATACTCGCCACTCTGCATGTAGCATGCCTTTCTTCACCTTTCTCAACATAACTTACAATTATAGTATCTGTGCATCAGGTTTTCAAGCCAGTGGAAGGCTGCAGTGACTGCCTTCACCTCTGTTCTGTCTAATGATGTGATATAATATCCTAGACATTGTTGCAACAAGCAGTGTCCATTCATGTTTGCTGTGAACCCCCATGCACCTTTTCTGCTTCTCAAAGCACAGTTTTGAGGTTCATGTTCTAATGGAAGGTTAGAGACAGAATAAGCAAATTTAGATTATTTTATCTATTTTCATTGTTCTTTATAGTTTTTATACAAAACTTTTCTTTAAGTAAATAAAACATATTTGCTCTTTTGTGTTTTCTCTTTGGGATCATTTTGTTTTTTAAATTTCTATTCAAGTCACAAAGAAGGAAGTGGTGTGGGAAAGTGAATCAGACAACTCAGAACCTGAGGAAGTGGTGGTGGTTGTGGAAGCAGAAAAGACCAAACCAAACACAGCTGCTGTTAAACAGAGCAACAAACCAATTAACCATAAAACAGAGGCAAAAGGAAGAAAGGTAAAATGGTGTACGAAAAATCAACATGTGTGCTCTTGTTTGAATTGTATTTTTTATCCACGTGAGTTCACCACCCAATTTTGAGGAGGCAAACATGGCATAAAAGGCAACTAACGTAGCATTTCCTGAAATCAGACATGTGTAGGCTAAGAATCACAAATGTTGCAGTCTAGCTGTACAACCCAGTTTCCCAACCTCACTTTTGTCTTCAGGCAAGCAAATTGCCCGTCTGATACCGTTGCTACAGTGTTAACTAGTAAGGAAATGATAAAAATGTGACTTGCTGATGTATATTAAAAGGTTAAGGATGCGGTAATTGATTTTTTGGCACTGGGTTCAATACCTTATAGCTCGGTCTCTCCACAGAACAGCTAGCCACCCCTAAGAGCATCACAAAAGCACGAACTCTAGCTCTGGCGAGGATCCACAGGGATCACCCTAAGTATTGCATTCATGAACTGAATGATGCAGTTGCGAAACGAACCTACAACCTTTAAAACATGAGGCAAACAGCTTTACATGTGTGTTATTTAAAAAAAAGTGTGAGCAAACAGGACATTAGTGATAAGTATAGAGGTAGATTCCTGGGAATAAAATGCCATGGACTGTATTGCATGGATGGGGGAAATCAGAAAGGGAATGAGAATAAAGGAATAAATGATTGCAGAAAGGATTAGAGCTAGCGTCTGAGAAGAAATACACTAAATATATGTGGTGGCAACAGCAGTCCTGAAATCCCAGTCAGTTGTGGAGGACTTTTCCTAACACAGACAAGTCTTGCTAGTCATACTTGCCATCGCCAAGGGCTGTGAGTCTCATGCCTCATAGCATAATATAATGCTATCATATGGAAAGGTGCCAACAACAGTATACTGATTATAGTAAAGTTTATAATTGTTCATCAGAACTGGGTTACTTGTGGCCAGTGTCTGAACTGCAGTCTTCTAGCGGACCTTCTAGCCATGAGAGATAGCTAGCAATGGTCTTTGTAATGGCTACATCAACAATTGTTATTGCTTTTGATTCCCTGTATAGAGTCTGTACAGTAGACTGCTAATGATTGCTGTAATCAAAAGTTTCAATACTGTTAAATTACATTGAGCTAAGAATCAGAATGGTACCTTCAGAGCAGTAGTAGCTTGTGTCATGTATGACCAGAGGGAGCATAACTAAGGCATGAGCTGTAGTGTTGCAGCAGCAGCTTGAGCTGATTGACGAATGTTTTCATCATAACAGGCCGGCAGATTTAGCACGCTCTTATATTCAGATAAGATTTTGTAGATTTTGCTTCCTGGCTGATTAATTGTACAGATGTTTTCTACGGATTGGAATATCCACTTTCAAATTTTCCTTAGTTGCCATATGGAACTGCAAGTAATCACCATCTTCATTTTCCACTTTTTCTGTTAAGTGTCATGGGGAAAGGAACAGTTTGTGATCCATTGCTTGATATTTATCAGTGGCTATCACCATTTCGTGTCGATGTAGAATGTCTTTAATGTTGTTAATCTGTATTCTAGCGCTACCTTCTGCTTTCACATCAGATTTTTTTGTTGTTGAATGCCAGACCATTTAATCATCTGTTTCTCAGTGAGTTTGGTGCATTTTGTTGTTCCCACTGTCTGTCTGATAGTATTGTTTCTCACTTTGTCTCAGATGGTTCAGTTGTTGACCTTTCTCAGGCATCTCATTTCACCAGTTTTAATTTTACATAGATAAGCCTTTGTTAATGTCCACGTTTGGCGCTGGCAGCACAGTGTTGGTATGAATATGCTGTTTATATATCCGAGTAGCACATATCAAGGCTGGCACCTGTTGCCTCTTACAAACCAGACACTGAAAAGCAGAACAGGACTAGCGAAGAAAAAGATGATAATCTGTTTCTTGGCGGGAGGGGGGACATACTTATGTTTAGATGTCTTAGTATCTGTTTCTTTGTTGGGGGGAAGGGGGGGGGGGAATACTTATGTTTAGATGTCTTAGTATCTGTTTCTTGGGGGGGGGGGGTATATTTATATGTTTAGATGTCTTAGTATCGTTTTTGTGTGGGGCGGGGGGCATACTTATGTTTAGATGTCTTAGTATCTGTTTCTGGGAGGGGGGGGGGTGGTGGCATACTTATGTTTAGATGTCTTAGTATCTGTTTCTGGGAGGGGGGGGGGGGGTGGCATACTTATGTTTAGATGTCTTAGTATTTGCTTCTTGAAGTGAGGGGGGCAGACTTATGTTTAGATGTCTTAGTATCTGCTTCTTGGAGTGGGGGGGGGGGGTGGCATACTTATGTTTAGATGTCTTAGTATCTGTTTCAGTGAGGGGGGGGGGGGGGGGTGGCATACTTATGTTTAGATGTCTTAGTATCTGTTTCTTGGAGTGGGGGGGTGGCATACTTATGTGTAGATGTCTTAGTATCTGTTTCTGGGAGAGGGGGGGGGGGGGTGGCATACTTATGTTTAGATGTCTTAGTATCTGTTTCTTGGAGTGGGGGGGGGGGGTGTCATACTTATGTTTAGATGTCTTAGTATCTGTTTCTTGGAGTGGGGGGGGGGGTGGCATACTTATGTTTAGATGTCTTAGTATCTGCTTCTTGGAGTGGGGGGGGGGGGTGGCATAGTTATGTTTAGATGTCTTAGTATCTGCTTCTTGGAGTGGGGGGGGGGGGGGGGTGGCATAGTTATGTTTAGATGTCTTAGTATCTGCTTCTTGGAGTGGGGGGGGGGGGTGGCATAGTTATGTTTAGATGTCTTAGTATCTGTTTCTTGGAGTGGGTGGGGGGTGGGGGCATACTTAGGTTTAGATTTAGATGTCTTAGTATCTGTTTCTTGGAGGGGGGGGGGGGGCATACTTATGTTTAGATGTCTTAGTATCTGTTTCTTGGAGTGGGTGGGGGGGGGGGGGGAGAGGCATACCTATGTTTAGATGTCCTAGTAATGTGTCAGTTGGTATTTAATTGCATTGGCATCTTGTTTCTATTTCCTGATCATTCTTCCAAGAACAGCCTGTAATTTACAATATATCAGTACTTTTGTTTGGCCATCTGTTTCATGAAATCACAGAATAGGCACTGAAATTGAATAGAAATGGATGTGCTAGTTTTCTGAAGGTTGCTCTGCAAGTCATTTGTAATTAATTATAAATGTTGGACTGGCGTCATTACTTCATAGGGCTAAAGGAACAGTTACTGGGGGGTTTTACTCCAATATAGATATTAGTGGAGGTCACCGTGTCACAGTGGCTAGACGCTCGCTTTCGGATCGGACGGTCATGAGTTTGACTTTTTTTCAAAAATGACCTTGGCTCCCAGGTTGACCCAGGCTTGAGTGGGTACCTGGTGCAGTCCCAGGAAGTAAATTTGGCCGGCATGATGCTGACCACATCATCACCCATCTTGTGGCAATTGGTCTATTAAAAATATAGGTTTAGCTCTATATGCCCTACACGCCTAAAGATGTGGAAAGGGGACCTTTACTTTTTTTTTTACTATGATAGTTATTAATTATTGCATCTCTGTTCTAAATGTTGCATATGCTTTAATTTAAGTGTACTTCTGGTAATCTTGCTTCTGTGAGATGTGTTTTTTTCGAAGTTGCTGAAATCTAGTTTAAATTTCTATTTATCTTTAGACATCCAAGAAGGTGGCATCCCCACAGAAAGGCAAGCAGCAGACATTAACATCATTTTTCACAAAGAAATGAAGGCCACCGGTCTGTGTGCTTGTCATATTTACCAACAAATTATGGAGCAAGACATTTGTTTGTGTAAAGGATTGTGTGACTCAGTCTCCTTCTAGGAATGAATTAATTTGTGTATAACAAGGATACCTCTGTTGACAACAAAGTTTGTGAGATGACATGATTGCTCATGATTGTTAAAAAGAATGTTCAAGTGTTTATTTGAAAGTTATTTTATATTTAGCAGGCTTTTCAAGAATTGTTTGTAATGTTCTTGTCTCTGTTTATTATTTAAATTAATTTTTTGCATACTCATTATACTTCTTCCGCATTCTTCCTTATATGTACGGGTGGCACATTGTACTGGAGTTTACAATTAGGTTGCCATATCTGCGCCCTTCGGCCCAACACATCCAATTTCAGCAAATTCTTAATGATTCACTTTGTATGACATTAGGACCCTTTTCCACTCCTTTAGGCATATAGGGCTAGACTTATATTTTATAGACTAATCGGCACAAGATGAGTGATGTGGATAACATCACGCTGGCCGCCTTTACTTCCCGGGGATGCACCCGGTACCCACTCAAGGCCTGGTCGACATGGGAGCTAAGGTCATTTTGGAAAAAAGTCCGGCTCCAACGCAGCACCCCGGCATTACAAAGTGTGTTCACAATTTCACAATGTTCTCACCAGCTGTAAACTCAGGCAGAAAGTTATGATTGTTTGTGATTGTTGGCTGTTTGTGATTTTACTAGGCAGTTTTACATTTAGTAGTTTGCTTTCAGAACAGTCAGCTCTCACTGTGTGCTGCTAAATTGCCCCCAGAATTATTTATTTATGGGTCTTTATTTAATTCTTTGTAAAACTTAAATTTCACAATATAAATGACCATTGGAGTAGTAATATCATTTTCCCCTCCTCTGTTCTCTCTACAACAGAGGAAATAAAATCTAAGAACAAAGAAATGTCTTTGACAATTGTTTTTATTTTTTGGAAAAAGTCAAGAAAGTTAAAGCCTGAAAATTCACAATTAAGTGTTTGTAAAACTTGTGTAGTGTTTGGTAATAAGAAACAAGTATCACATTCAGAGCAAAGTATCTTCATTTCTGAGTACGTTTGGGAAGTCTGTCCATAAAGTTCAGATCTCTACACAATTTATATTAAATAAAGGAATACATTAGGTGAAACTAAACAACTTGGCGGGGGCAAGAGATATTGTCCAAAATATAAAGCATATAAGTGAATGCCTACTTTCATATGTGTGAATTGATTTTTGGGTAAAGTTGGGACATCTCTCAAAAAAAGCTAAAACTGACATGAAGTAAGTTTAATGAAGGTGAAGAACTTACTGAAACATTGATGTGAAGTAAGTTTTATGAAAGTTAAGAACTTACTGAAACATTGATGTGAAGTAAGTTTAATGAAAGTAAAGAACTTACTGAAACATTGATGTAAAGTAAGTTTAAGAAAGTTAAGAACTTACTGAAACATTGATGTGAAGTAAGTTTAATGAAAGTTAAGAAGTTACTGAAACATTAGTGTGAAGTAAGTTTAATGAAAGTAAAGAACTTACTGAAACATTGATGTGAAGTAAGTTTAATGAAAGTAAAGAACTTACTGAAACAGTGGTTTAAATCACCATTGATTACTGGCATCATGAGGGCTATTATACTGAACTGGCTGGAATGTTAGATGATGGGGGTAAACTGTGCACACAAGGGAGGTGAATGGTCGCAAATCAAGAACAGACCAATAAGACAATGGAGGGATAATGTCCAGACAGACCTGCAAACTAGAAAGAGAAGGCCAGTCAAAGAGATGAATGAGTTGAGGCAGGTGATATCTGCAGCAAGGAACCTCCAGGGCTTAGAATGCTGAAGAAGAAGACAAAACTCTCTAGAAATAAAAGACTTAGAAACATAAAGCATACAAATTCAATAACTTCTTCACCATCTGCCTTCACTTTCCAGCACCTTTCCTGGTACCCATTTAGATAGGCAGGATCCATCTCAGAGCCTAGATCTTTTTTTTAAATTTCTTTTTTTTTATAAATTGAGATTTGATAACATGACTAGGGAACCAGCAAGCATGTTATACCACTACCCTGCTGGGGCTTAAATTTACCGATATGCTGAATTATCTTATTTTTGTGATAAGTGTTAAAAGTATCCAGCAACGAATATTCAAGAATTTAATCCTATGCATAACTTCCAGTAAAGTAAATGATCAGTATCTCAATCGACCCCACAACAAGAGATACATTTTTTTTTTCAATGTATCTACCTTAGGATTGACACCTTGTTACTCGGAGAGCCACTATTAAGATTCCAATCCAACAAGAACATATTCTAGAAATCATGTAAAGCAGAAGGTGGACCATACAAATATTAGAGACAACAAAAGAGCCTGTTTCAGAAATCTCTTACCCCCTTGATGCTGCGAGGTATTCCAGGAATAGAGAAAAGAAGATGATGTAAAACAGGGCACCCTGAACCTGCTGGGTGGACTGAGTTCCTTATTCTACACTAAATGAAATGTGAATCTATAACATAACATACAAACTGTCAAGATAAATTCCACTCATATTTGGTGGCATACTTTTGTTTGCTGTGTGGAATGGTATATGAATTATAACAAAAAGAGTGCAGGGTCAAAGTGCATGCAGTATGGAGTCCGATTGAAAGTTCATTGTGCTCCAGTTTTAAATCTCGCAGGGGTCAGGAATCATATCTGCGAAGTAAAATTTAAAAAAAAAAACATGAGTGTGATAACTGACTTTAACTAGTTAAATTGCTCCCAGAATTTTATTATTGTATCCAAATTAGCCGGCTTAATGCTGACTACATTACCCACCTAGTGCCGATGGTCTGTAAAAATATGGCCACTTTTCCCATATACCCGATACGCCTGAAAGGCGTGAAAACGGATGTTTACTTTTTTTACTTTATTCAGATCAGCAGGGGCGCGCCTCATTGAAATCACATTGGGGGTGGGGGGATGCTCAGCCTCATAATTTTCTGGAAAGTTGAGTTGGGGGCGCTTAAGCCTTGTTTAAGTGTGCAGTCATGTATAATAATTACGTTGCAACTCACGAAAGTCACCCCTTCTCGTCAGCTGCCTGATTTCATAAGGGATTTCTCTGGACACTCCTCTAGTCTAGGGGTGTCATGTGTTCCTTTTTTGGGGCCATTTTCAGCACGTCCACCATCGGAGACAGCCACGGCCAGTGAGCATAAAACTACAAAAACATTGGTGATTTGATATTCATGAATCGTTGTGCCTTCGGCGCTTCCCCTGCGGTACTTCTTGCACAATGGCCCCTGAGACCCAATCACAACAACACAATTTAGGAACAAGTCGTTTACAGAAAAGAGAGTTGCGAAAAGAAAGCTGCGTAGTTTCGTCTGGGAGAAGGTGTGCTGAATGAACCTGAGCCAGTTTTCCTCATGCTATGTATAGATGGCGAAGGAAGACATAACACCCCTACAACTTAGGTTAGTCTGTGGGAACCTCTAAATCTTGCTGGCATCGAGATGGGGTGACTTTCATGAGTAGTACCATAATTACTATTATTATGTGCTGGGTGCCACATGGGAGGGGGGCAGAGTTTTGTGCTCAGCCCTAATAACATTTTCTTGTGCAAGAGGCTTAAGCCTTGTTTAAGTGCGCAATGATTATAATAAATACTATTATTAGGTGCTGAGTGGCAAATATCTTAAATAATATGAAATGTAAATGTATGAACAAATGCTTTAAAAGAGAGCTTCAGTACGGGGGGGGGGGGGGGGCTTACAAATTTTCTTTCTATGGGTGGAGGGTCTGCCCAGCAGTTTTTTTTTTTTTTTCTCAGGGGGTGGAGGGGCAAGGTGTTTGACCCACAGGTTCCAGCGCTTCTGCAATTCAGTAACAGATGTGATCAAATGAAACTTGTCTGGCTTTATTAGAAATGTATCAAAGGTTTATTATCAGGTGTGCTGGAAGTAAACAAAGCCACACTTAGGAAGTAAGTACACACTTGGGTTTCATCAAGAACACCATGTCTGCATGCTGGATTGCTTGTAGACCTCTAATACCTGGCTGATATAATTTAACCCATTCTCTCATTGAAGATCTTTGTTATTAATATGTTTGAGATAGTAAGTAAGTAAATGACCCTTTTTATTGTCTTCTGGCGTATTGGGCTAGACTTATATTTTATAGATCTGTTTGAGATAGTAAGTAAATGACCCTTTTCATTGCCTTCCGGCGTATTGGGCTAGACTTTATTTTATAGACCAATCAGCACTGGACAACACGCTGGTCGTTTCTACTTCCTAGAACTACCTAGTCCCCATTCAAGGCTGGGACGACTTGGGAGCCTAGGTCAATTTTTGAAAACTAGTCCTGCTTCATCAGGGCCTGAACCCACGACCTTTGGATCCGCAGGCAAGCATCTAAACATATAAAGGCAGAAAGTCAGACCATTTTCAAATAACACCTGGTTTAAAGCAAGGTGATGCACTGTCCCCACTTCTTGAAGAAAATTATAAGGAAATTGAAACAATAGTGTACTGTAGGAGAATCTACAAGAATACTTGGATGTGATGAGGACATTGATATCGTTGGAGACAATGAACTAGAGACCATTAAAACACTAACTCTCTTAAAATAATCAGCTCAGAAAATGGGACTTATTTATCAGTCAAGATAAGAGAGAATACATGATAATAACAAGACAGTGAAATGATATCAACTCTGGCCACATACAAGTCGATAATATGAAAATCAAACGAACTGAAAATATAAGTACTTGGGTGCAAACTTCAACTGCTCCAACATGCTGATAGAAGAAATACAATCTAGAAATAAAGTATACTATGCACTTCAACATCTGCTAAAGCCAAAGTGTCTGTTTCGCAGTACCAAGATCGAAATATATAAAAAGTTGATAAGACCAGTCGTTTTATATGGCTTTGAAACTTGGAGAACAACTAAAAGAGATGAAGCCTTATTACAGGTATTTAAAAACAGTCTTACGACGAATCTTTTGACCAATCAAAGATGCAAACAGCAGGGAATGGAGAGTGAGAAGCAACAACGAAATTCATAATCTGTTTCTTCTTCTTTTCTTTAGTATCCAGAAGCCATGAGTTGTTAACCCTTAGGCTCGGTATTATGGATATCGCAACCTTTCGGCCTTGATTCCATTGTAAATACCGTAAATCTGGGAGAAAATGTGGCTTTCCTGCCTACCCCCGGGATTGAACCCGGACCACAAGGAGTACGTCACCCGGTCTCCGCGAAATCCGGTTTAGCCAATTCCGCTAGAGAGCCGGGCCATAATCTGTTTAAATCATCATTGATCACTGGCATCATGAAAGCAAATAGACTGAAACGGTTGGGACATGTTGAAAGAATGTCAAATGACAGAGGTGTAAGCTGTATACACAAGGGAGATGAATGGGCGTAGACCATGAGGCAGACCAAGAAAACAATGCAGAGATAATGTCCAGAGAGACCTGCAAACACTTGGTGTCACTAACTGGAAAGAGAAGGCCAACCAGAGAGATGAATGGAGGCGGGTGATATCTGCAGCAATGAACCCCAAGGACTCGGAATGCTGAAGAAGGAGTGGGCTACGCAATAATTTTCAGAAATAAGTTGCTCACTCTCGTTCTCCGACCTGCTGCAGACGTACTCTACGAATTTTTTGATACCGTTGCGGGCTGGGGAGGTCTGCACAGCCCTGTGTGTGCCAAATGGAACGTGGTGGCGGGAGCATCGGCAGTCCATCTGTAATCATTTAAAAAAATTTACGTGAACAGCTTTCTAATACATAATTAGGCAACATGATTTTTCTAATAAATGAGGAGCTAACTTTAGGGCATTTCTAACAAATGACTGCTCAACTTAAGGATTTTTCTAACAAATGACTGGTTAACTTCAGGATGTTTTGAACAAATGAGTGGTTAACTTCAGGATATTTCTAACAAATGAGTGGTTAACTTCAGGATATTTCAAACAAATGAGTGGCCAATGTTATCGTCATTTATTTTTGTAGTCAACTAGCCAACTGTATATATGTTGTTTAACCCCCACCCAGGACTGTACAACCAGCGACCAACACCCAGGGACACAAAGTGCCATCATTCTGATGAAGATTACCCGGGCACAAATTCTAGCGACCCCGTTTAACCGCCAGGTTATATTAGGGCCCCCGGTTAAACCAGGGATGGGACCTTAAATTAACGAAACATTGCGCCTTAGATTATTATGGTGACTTACTAGCCAACTTCAGCACGTAATTTTAAATTAAAAATTAAATTAATTAAATTTATGTCTGGCTAACGTGGGTATGTTTTTTATAATAGATAGTGAAATATCTTGAACAACATTGTTATAAATAAATGTGACAACAGTATTCCCCTGTGTCTCATTCATCATCATCATCATCATCTTCTTCTTCCTCTTCTTCTTCTAATTCTTCCTTCCGCTTTGAAGAAAAAAAAAATCCTCCAGTACACTATAATCCATAAACCAACCAACTGGCACAGTCACGCATTCAGCTCTCTCTGTCTTCCATGGCTTATTCACCTTTGTCTTCTCTTCTGCTTAGGTCGTTGTTGTGTTTCCGCTAATTGCCAAGCGGTTAGAACGCTGGACTTTCGAGCGGAAAACCCGGGTTCGAATCCTCAGTAAGGCAGGGGATTTTTTTCTGTCAGGGGCAAAATAAAGTCCTCACCTTCACAGCTGTGGCGACAGCACTAGCCATGCGGCCTTAAATCCTGCGGCCCAAAGACCCTCCAGCCAGGGTTGCCAGATAAAAAACTTCATTTTATGCCAAACCATCACCCAAAATATGCCAGAAAATTGCCAAATAAAGTGTAACATTGCACTCACTTCACATAAAAAGCTCTAGATTGAATTCTTCACTGTCATCCTCACTGGAACAAGTGGAAGATGCAGCAAAAACCTTTTCGGATGTAAAATCTTTAAGCATTTTCTCAGATGGAATGAAGTCTTTGCAACATTTCTTTGATATCAATAGTTCTGCTCTAATTCTGACAACTGCATCAAGAAAATCCAGTTGTATTTTGTTTCTTGCTTTTGATTTAGTTGAAGTAACAAGAGAGAATATTCTCTCAACTACAGCATTGCTAACGGGCATTATTAGGCAAGTAAGGGCGAAAGTGGCCGACTCTTTAAATGCCTGGTGTCGAAGTACGCCTAGCCAAATATCTTCCGTTTGTAGGTAGTCCATCCTTCTTAAATGTAGCTTCTTCTTTCCAGTTGACAACAATTAGTTTTCTGTACTGTTCTTCTATACTACTGATGTTGTTTTCTGCCAGGTGTAAAAATGGTAGCTCTGAAAACTGTGTCCTTGATATTTGATTTAACACTGCCAAAGGGCTCAATTTATGACAGATTTTGAAATATATTCTCTGTGGGTGGTCTACACGTAATTTGATTGAGAGCTTCCTCTAGCACACACATGCATCTTTCTTTAACATTGTTTATTTCTATCTGAGCTTCAGTCCCGTTTTTCTTCTGTAGGAACGCATTACATTCCGTTGGGAATTTAATACCAAAGTCAAAGTGATGAATATTTTTTTTCTGCTCATTGACGTCATAAGTCTGTTCTTAAGACTTTTCTGGTGCATGGACAATTCTTGGTGTAGTTCATAAGGATCAGCTTTTGTTTGTTGGAAAGACTGTTCAGTCTTTCAAATTCTTGTACAATTGGTGTCGCAAATACAAAGTACAAATAATTATTGTGGTCTAACAGCATTTCCTTTAATAATCTTACTTTATATTTTGTGTCAAACGTTGTCTGTGCTTATTCAGCACATGTGAAATAAGCTTTCAATTCTTCCTAGTTCACCAACATATTGAACATAATCTTTCCACGCATAATCCACCTAGTAGATGACAGTTTCTCAAATAGAAGAGGAGCAATTCACTCTGATTCAAACTCCGTAGATGTGTTTATCTCTCTAAACAGTTCTTTATAGGCTTCTCATCTTAAATCACTATGGCGAAACCACTGAGGTATTTCTGACAGTAAGAAACCAATATTTGATAGCAGCTTGGCAATTGTACTACAAATGCAGAGTGCTAGTGAATGGCAGACACATCTGAGCTGTACACAAATAGGAGACACATCTTTAATTCTGGACCATACAGAGTTCTTGCACCCGACCATGTTTGAAGCGGTGGGTTTTCGTTTTATCTTCTTCTTTTGTCAAAATCTGCTTGTGCCGCTAGGCGTAGCAGTCTATCAGATGATCGGCAACCGAGCCAGGGCGCGCTCAGTCGCTTCATATGCCGTGATGTTATGAAGTATCAAGTTGTCCATGACTCCTTCAATCCATCTTCATTTTGGTCTTCCCCTGCCTCTTGGTGTTTCGATTTTCATGTTGTATGCTCTTGATGCTGGCATCGTTGGTTCCATTCTCATTAGGTGACCTAACCATTTCATTCTTTGCTTCTCAAAAAATTTAACGATGGGTATGGTTCCAATAGTTCTTGTAATCACATCTTTTCTCACTCGATCTCTTCTGGTTTTATTTGCAGCCATTCTCAAACATCTCACTTCACAGGTGGTTAGTCTTCTCTCGTGTTCTTTTGTTAATGTCCAAGTCTGACATTGATAACCTAATGTCGGTATAAAGATTGTATTTATAATTTGTCTTTTTATCTCAGCTGGGACAGCAGGGTGTTTTAAAATTGGGGCAAGCTGGTATGCGACATTGTTGGCTTGTTGGATTCTTGCTTCGATCTCTCTGTCTATTTTACCATTGAATGTAAAGATACTTCCCAAGTATTTAAATTCTTGCACTTGTTTTAGGCTGCGATCTAGAATCTTTATGTCGATGGTCTGTTGCTCTCTACTTATGCTCATGACTTCTGTCTTTTCAGTATTGATCTTCATATGATGCTTGAGGCAACTGTCGTGTAGTAGGTTTATGTGGTTTTCGTTTTATATCTTGCATTTTTTCTAGTAAACTACCACAAATTACAGAGGTTTATAGCAGTCACGATCCGTTCAGGAAGACAACAAAACAATAAAAAATTGCGCGAATCTGTTAGTCCGTACCAGGACATCACAACAAAGACAAACTGAAATAAAGATTTTAACATTGCTTTTAGTAAATTTGCGTGTTTCTAATGGAGGAACCATAAAGAAAATGTGAGCACATCTTGATAAAAAATGCCAGGAGAAACCCAAATATGCCAGAATATGCCAGTTCATTATCTTATGCCAGTTCAATTTCAAATATGCCAGATTTGTCGAATCTGGCATTAAAAATGCCAATATGGCAAACCTGCCTCCAGCCTGCACCGCAAAAGTGATATAACAAAGGCAGTAATTGCCAGTTTGGCTCCCATAAAAGAACATAAGTTTTAATGACCAGTAAAAGAATACAGTTTTGGTTGACAATCACAGACAACAGTCTACTGACCCTGGTGTACGTCCGACGACCAAAGTTTATGGCCTCGTTCACCACAGTTTGGGCGACAGGGGTCATGCTACGAATGTTTCCACAATATGGCAGTCGGCAGATGTTTTGACAAGTGTACTGCCTGTATGGATACAATCACAATTTGTTTTTTCAATCTGATGCATTTAAAATAAACTCGCTAAATAATCTTGTATTCCAAGCAGATAAACGGTCTTCGAAATAACCACTGCTCAATCTAGGAGCCGGTTAAAAGAAGCGTGATTTTTTTTTTTTTTTTGCATCAACACCAAGACCAACAATCTTTCAAAGCAGTATGTGAAACAATACAAATTACATATCGGTGATTTAAATAATAACGTCATAAAGGTAAAACTTAAATAAATATAAATTCTGAGAAGTCAATTAACACTAAACATTCCAGTTACAATTGTGATGGTTAAGCAGAATGTTTAACAACAACAAAATTACTATTTCAATAATCTTTTTAAAAAAAAAAGACAATGTGTAATTGTGTGTGTGTTCGCGCACGTTTCAGGGGCGCTGGAAACTGGGGGTTTCACATATTTGTTTGTGAGGGCTGGCTACCCCCTTCCCTCCCCCCGCCGCTCTTGGATGGCAAAGGCTGAGGACTTAATCCAGCAGGTTTGTGACCTAGATGTGATCAATCACGGAAAAGAATGGGCGAATACACCAGTAGACATGCATGGCATCTCTAAGGTTGTCATCACACTCGGAAGGTACTACAGGGAACAAATTCCTGCGGCCGTAGACACAGAAGTAAGGGAACTGATAGATCAGCATTCAGACCCAGAAGATACCATCATCTACACAGATGGATCCGTGAAGCGCGGATCAAGGTCAGCATGGGCATACACAGGGCAAAGAAGGGGGGAAACAATACATGAGGACAGCAGCGCTTACCAAACAACCACGTCAAGCATGACAATGGAAATAGCCGCTGCTTCTAGAGCTTTAGCATGGGTATCCGAGCAAACCGCCACACAGGTAGTAACTGTCTCAGACTCAATGAATAAGCTTCAGAAGATAGCAACAGGCAGTATGCGCTCTGAATGGATAGAAAGCATTCAGAAATCGCACTTAACCTCTGTAACCTGGATCTACACACCGGGTCATGCGGGCGTGAAGGGAAATGAGCGAGCAGACCAACTGGCAAGCACTGCACTAATGATTGCGGGAAAAAGTATGGACATAGCAGATATAGTCAATGGGGGGGGGGGGGGGGGCCCCGCGCGGAATTTAGACGTTTTCACACACCCATTCACTTAGAATTATTAGGGGAGCGCCCCCCCCCCCCTATAATTTAGGGGGTGGTTCTATCAAGATCTCTGATGCCCCAGGTATCTTTACGCGTTCTGCTACTAGGAAATGAAATCGCCAGTCATTGTAGCAAATACAAGCTGCAAATAGAAATTTTTAAAAAAAAGCCTTACATTATGTGAAAAATAAAATCAATGAATTAAAACAAAACCCACAAGGCAGGACTCTAACACCACAGTTGGACAAAGAAAATGAACGATTTTTTTTTTTTTTTTTGAGAAACATCTTAAACCAGCCCCATCAAAGGCTACAACAGAAGAAATTCAATATAGTTTTCCGGTTTTGCAGGGGAATGCTAGTGGCAACGGAAACAGAAACAGTATCAATTCCTGGGATAAAGGAGCCAGACTGGGTGAAATATGGTGGCTAGAGAAAGGGCGATCAGTTCGGGGAGAGAAGGATGTTTGTGTGTGGCCAAGAGTGGTGGTGAACTTGGAACTTCGTTTTCTTCTTCTTGATTTCCTCTTTTACTGCTTCGGGTGTAAGGGACGACATAAATGTCTGCTTCAGTGTTGCCACTTTGGATGTTTTACATCCAGATTTAAATGTTTTCCCTTGCATTTAGATGGCGTATTTTGACGTTTAAATAGTAGATGTATTCTAGATGTATTCTGGAGTGAATTTATCAAATTTAACCTAAGAAACAGGATGAAATTTGACCTCTTAAATTCTATATTGACAATAAAATTCGGCCTGATAAGAGTAGGAAAAGGCTGTTCTGCTTATCAGCTCCCTGATTGGGTATTTAAAAGAAATTGGAACAGCTAAAGCATAATTAGAGTCATTTTGGATCTGAAGCTTCAACTTCATCATCCAAGCTAAGTTTATCCTGTGGATCATGTAAGGCAGACCAGTAAAGATGAGGACATGATTCTATAGGGTAAGTCATATCAATTGCTAATTAATTTGTGACTCTTTTCATTTGGATGTTTTTCTAGATGTTTTCCACGCAAATGTAGATGTTTTTAGATATTTGTTAACTCCGTTTTGGATGATTTTTGTCAAAGAAAAATAGCAACACTAATCTGCTTCTTGCTTTTGTGGCCGCCTCGACCATAGAATCATGGTGCTGTTTTAGAGCTTCTCTGGTGCCCGGCTCTCTAGCGTAGTTGGCTAAATCGGATTGCGCGGTGACGGGGTGACTAACTCCTTGTGGTCTGGGTTCACTCCCGGGGGTAGGCAGAAAAGCCACATTTATCCCAGATTTACGGTATTTACAATGGAATCAAGGCCGAAGGGTTGCGATATCCATAATACCGAGCCTAAGGGTTTACAACTCATGGCTTCTGGATACTAAAACAAACAAACATAGATTTTCTGGTGTATTCCTTCCATTTTGTTCTTCGTCTACCTCATGATCTTCGTCCATCTCCTCTTTAGTTGTGTGCACTGTATGGGAATTGCGTCAACGACATCTGGGCGAACTATTTCCTTTGATGTCTTCTTCTTCTATACTTCCTTTTTTTTTTTTTTTTTTATAAATCGCTTCGGGGGTCGAGGGCGATACGATGTTCTGCTTCTGGCTTTTCTTTTCTGGCCTCCTGAACTATAGACACATTGTACTTTTATCGACTTTCTCTGATGTTTACTTTCTTTATTGTTCCAGCCTTGTGCTCTACGCCCTTCTCCTCTTTTGGTATATGCTTTGTATGGTATGACGTTACAAGGCATTGTCTGTAAGTGTGCAAACCCTTTAGTTTGCTGTCTCTATATGTCATTTGGAATTGGATCTGTACCGAATGGTTCTCTTGTGACCTAATTCCTGATTGTATCTTCTTATCACTCGTGCAGCTGTTCTCGGACATCTCGTTTTCGTGGTTATTAATTTTTTTTTTTTTTTTGGTTTAGTGTTTCGTTGTGAGTGACTATGTCTGGCAGAGGTAGCATATGGTGAGCATGAACTTGCTTTGTATGCTATGTTTGTGCTGACTGGGATTGTTTTGTGTTGTAAGAGGGGCGCTAGCTGTCACAATCCTTGGTTTGCTTTACTGCATCAGATAGCAAAAAATTAGGGGCTGCGTTAGCGCAGTCGATAGAAGGCTCGCTTTCAAATCCCAATGCGACTCGCTGCAGCCCACGGCCGGTGTTCGAAACCGGGCGGTTTCCGGGGTTCACCCAGCCTCTAAGTAATGGGTACCAGAGTTAACACTCTGGGGTAAATTGAGGAACGTCGCTGTAGCTACGGAGTTGCGTGTGGACGGCGACACAGGCGGACAGTTTAATCTGCTGTATGTACTGATGGCAGAGCACTTTTGGTTTTTAACCGTGTGCAATGACGATGGTTCACATCTCCCGACTTTATGTTTTTTTTTTTTTGTTTTAGAACTGATTTTTTTACTGACTTCTCCCCTGATGACCTCATATTTGATTTTGTCAGACTGAATAAAACAAAATTTGACGATGAAAAAAAAACATTATAGCAAGGGAACATTTTGACGAAAGTCCTTATCAGAGAACAAACAAAACATGCAGAATATGGTGATCTTTTTGGCTAACGAAGATCATTTGTTCGTAAATCATATTTGTTAGCCGAAATCTTCGTTACCTGAAAGAGATTTCCTGTAGGTTTCTATGGGAAATGGTTTAATGCGTTCTTGGTGCTGTCCTCAATTTAAAAAATATGTTTTATAAAATAATTCTTTAAAAAAAAAAAAAAAATTAAAGGAGCAAACATTAACAAAAGGCTTTGCAGCTGGACAAAAGAAAATGGAACGTAGAGTGAAAAACTGTCGATCTGTCTGTTTCACAATATCTTCACAGCTTTTTACAGCTCTTTTGGGAGATCGGGGTTCGAATTCTCGGTAAGGCTGTGATTTTTTTCTGTCGGGGGCACAGTCGTGGCGACAGCACTAGGTGTGCGGCTGTAAATCCTCAAACTCAAAGACCCCCCCCCCCCCCCCCCCCCCCCCCCCCCCCCCCTTCTCTCCTTTTTCCGCCTACACCGCAACAGTTGGTAAAACAAGGGCAGTAATTGACATTCTTTTTTAAACAGGTCAATACAAATGTTTCAAGTTTCTTCTTCTTTTGTCAAAATCTGCTTGTGCCGCTAGGCGTCGCAGTCTATCAGATGATCGGCAACCTAGCCAGGGCGCGCTCAGTCGCTTCATATGCCGTGATGTTATGAAGTCTCAAGTTTTCCGTGACTCCTTCAATCCATCTTCTTCTTGGTCTTCCTATGCCTCTTGGTGTTTCGATTTTCATGTTGTATGCTCTTGATTTCAAGTTTAGTCAAGGTAAATCTACTCTTCTGCAGTAGCTGGCCTCTATCTCTTTACTGTATGAGAAGTCAACAATCTGTCCAGAATTAATTAATACAAACGCCTCCCCCCCCCCCCCCCCCCACCCACCCCAACCCCGAATTCTTGTAGTAAAGTGTGTCAGACAGTAGTCTTCAACCGAGGCACAAAGCTTGGTCATTTCAGCTTTGTTAGGATACCATTCGCTCGCCAAAGACTGAAACTTCTTCCAGTAATGCAGCCTATTTTAACGTCACCTTTTGTCATTTTCCCTTTTTCCTCCTCCTCCTCCTCTGATGAGCACTTGTATGTTTCTTGTCTCTTTCTTTGTTAAGTTGCTTTTTTTTTTTTAAAACCACTAAAACATTCGTTATTCGTTAGGCAAATGCAAATTGGATAGCCGATGAGAAAAAAGCGAAATCTGTCTTCGTTAGACACACAGTTCATTAGACATGTCATTCGTTAGCCGAAGTATCACCGTACTTAACTACGACCAGGGGACCGTAGGCGGGGGGGGGGGGAGGGTTGCATAGAAATAATGACTGAAATAAAATTTAAAAAAAAAACCGAATAGTTTTGCGGAAAAAAAAACCGCAGATAGATGAATGGATAAATAGATAGATGGATAGACAGATATAGGCGGATGGACAGACAAATACACTGGCAGACGGAAAGATAAATGGATGCATTGACATATATAAATAAGCGGACAGACAGACATACAGACGGATAGATAAACTGACAGACATATAGACAGACAGACAGAAAGACAGACAGACAGACAGACAGACAGACAGACAGACAGACAGACAGACAGACAGACAGACAGACAGACAGACAGACAGGCAGGCAGGCAGGCAGGCAGGCAGACAGACAGACAGACAGACAGACAGACAGACAGACAGACAGACAGACAGACAGACAGACAGACAGGCAGCAGGCAGGCAGGCAGGCAGGCAGGCAGGCAGGCAGGCAGGCAGGCAGGCAGGCAGGCAGGCAGGCAGGCAGGCAGGCAGGCAGATAGATAGATAGATAGATAGATAGATAGATAGATAGATAGATAGATAGATAGATAGATAGATAGATAGATAGATAGATAGATAGATAGATAGATAGATAGATAGATAGATAGATAGATAGATAGATAGATAGATAGATAGATAGATAGATAGATAGATAGATAGATAGATAGATAGATAGATAGATAGATAGATAGATAGATAGATAGATAGATAGATAGATAGATAGATAGATAGATAGATAGATAGATAGATAGATAGATAGATAGATAGATAGATAGATAGATAGATAGATAGATAGATAGATAGATAGATAGATAGATAGATAGATAGATAGATAGATAGATAGATAGATAGATAGATAGATAGATAGATAGATAGATAGATAGATAGATAGATAGATAGATAGATAGATAGATAGATAGATAGATAGATAGATAGATAGATAGATAGATAGATAGATAGATAGATAGATAGATAGATAGATAGATAGATAGATAGATAGATAGATAGATAGATAGATAGATAGATAGATAGATAGATAGATAGATAGATAGATAGATAGATAGATAGATAGATAGATAGATTAGATAGATAGATAGCATAAATAATCAAATAGAAACAAAGTGAAGTCCAATTTGAAATTGGCATTGAGGATTCCATTATTGAAGGTAAATAAAGAATCGTGATATTTGTTGCATGTTTCTTTTATAAATCCTGAAAAAAACCAGGGATTAGGAATGTCAAGCACTGCATTAGAAATCCCGTTTAACGGCTTTTCTTTTATGGGACGCCTTGCTGTCTGCATATCATTTTAGCAGGTTCTTTAAATCCTGGTTTATGTCTTCTTTCACAAAGATATATTATTTTTATCTGTTTAGAAAAACTCGTCATAACTTGGAGTGAGTTAAGAACAGAGATTACTGCACTCGGGAATTTCCATAACCACGCTGTTCTTATCTTCTGCAGAAGGCGCAGTACTCCAGTTCCGGTGTGGCCAGTAGCATTCTGATTGTATGTCTGTCTTCCCTTTTCCCCTGTGTATTTATGTCTTCCCTTTTCCCGTGATCATCTACGCGTGCCTACGCATTGTTCGCTTGCATCCAAAGAGCCAACATCTAATGTGCTACAGTTTAACTTGACAGAATAAAGAGCGGATAGCTGACGAGGAACCGGTTGCATATCCAGCCCCTGGCTGTTGTGTGGTTTCTCTAGGCAAATTTACGTCCAGTAGTTTGCCATTGCTTTCTGGACTGTCGGCCCCCTGATACCACTGTCGAAACCAACGCAAGGCGCATGGCCCGCAGCTAGGATCGAACCCGGCACTCCGGCATTGCGAAGCGCTCGCATCGACTTAGCCATAGAGCCGACTTTGACGAGGAACACACACCCAAAAAAAAAAAACCAAGCTGTTTCAGTCCCAAGTATGCATGAGCCTCGTGTTGTAGCCGTTAGACGCTCGCCTGCGAATTCGACAATCGTGGGTTCAGGTTCTCACAGAACCAGACTCTGGGAGGTTGGGGTGTCAGATAGGATTTCAATAAGCCAAACTGGGTAAGCTCAGTTTGCGTCTGTGGCATCAGGAATTGCGAACGCACTTGGCAATTCCGAGGTACCCTGTGTGACTTAGCAGCCGACCTTTTTGCGTTGATTTTGACAATTTTATTGAGTTCCTACCGTTAGGAAGTAATGGCAGCAAACTTATTAAGGTAGGACATAACGGCTTAAAAAAAAAAATGCTGGCGTTGAGTCTAGACTCTTGTTAGTTGGGTAACCTTTACATGACGTTGCAGAATCAACGCCAGCATTTTTTTTTTAAGCCGTTATGTCCTACCTTAATAAGTTTGCTGCCAAAGAGTTATTTAAAGTATATCGGTCTATAAATATAGGTCTAGCCCTACATGCCATATACGCCTAAAGGCGTGGAATGTTTTATGATTGTGTTCGAAACATTCTTGATTCGTCTTGAGCATCAGCTGAGATGTTTATAGTCTCAGTTTACGCCATGCGTCGTTGGTAATTCACATTCTTATATCGCAAAAACTGTCACTCATTTCTGATGTATATGTTCGATGACGCTATGATACACAACTCGCATATACTGTCACTCATTTCTGATGTATATGTTCGATGACGCTATGATACACAGCTCTTCTCGGCTTTCATGTTTCCCCAGACATGATGAAGGGTATGAGAGCCAGGGGGCGACCGAAAGGGACCATTTTGGGCAGTTTGGCATTATACCATGGAAGAAAATCTCTGAATGATTGACAGTATACTACATGGACGGCTGTGGACATTATACGACAAAAGTAATGATGTTGGTTAAGGGTAAAGACCATAGGATCAATTTTATTGCACCATTTAATTATTTCCTTAGTAAAATTGTTAACAAACAAAAAAAAAAAAAAACAAAAAAAAAAAAAAAAAAAACGGGATGAATCAAGAGGGGAGAAGAAAAAAATCGAAATGTCTGGGCCACCACTGGTGTCAAGTCTTAAGACAGAGAAGATGGCGCTATATTGGATACTTAACTCATGGAAATCAATTTTATTTTAATGCTATTTTGAAGCTCCACCTCCAAACTTTCGTCATGGCCCTAATATAACCTAACGGTTGAACTATGTTTCTGGGATTTATGCCTGGCTGATACTCATCCGGTGTTATAACTTGTTTTGCGGTCCTGGTGGGGTTAAATGTCATTCATTCGAGACGATCTGAGAATCACCAAACAGGCACTGAAATGAGAAACTAAGAGATTGAGGAAACTAGGACGTGGAAGAGAAATCCTAAAGGGAACGTTGACGCGAGAAGCCAAAAGTGCTGGACTGGATTCCATACACGACTCAGGGTGATTGCATATGATATACTGGAATGGGAAAACAGACTGCGAGCCCTTTATGTGCTCTACAATGGCACACAAGAACAATGAATGAGTAAATTCTGCAGTCATCCATAAAATGGCAGTTGGCATATTATGTTGTGGTTTGCAGCTAGGCTGTGATATAGGCACCTTTTGTCCCAAAACATCAAATTTTAGCAAACTCCCTTTTATTCCCCTTTTATGACATGCTTGTTTGAGAACCGGGGATGGGGCAGAAATAAAAGTTAAGCAAAAGAAGAGGTCATATTCACGTTTCCAGGCCCATCTACACACTGGCTGACCTTTCACTCATGGCTTCTCAGACTGTTCTACGTCAGAGGGGTGTCTCGTTGTCTTGCCTCCAATTACATCAGCGCCGATGTCGCATGTTCTTTACTGCACGACGACAGTTTTTAACGACATCAGAACATCTATAACTTGCCCTAACCCTAACCCCCTACCCACAGCCTGAGCCTAGGTCCAAGAGAGACCCTCTTCGAAGAAAAGTGTACAACGTGACACTCCTCTGACCTTGACCAGACTGAAAAAGTGTGTAGATGGGCCGGGAAACGTGAATAGGACCAAAGAAGAAACTCCAGCCTGTCTACTCACCGTTGTAGAGCAGATGCATACAGAAAATGTGAGGGCTTCTCGAAAGGGCACACAGAGCCGCCGGGACACAAACAGTTATGCAGGATCCTCTTTTCTTCACACTGGGACCCATCCTCGAGCTCTCTGGGCGTCAGAAACACGTCGGCGCAGACAGCTCGTTCAGGGCACGTCATGTTGTTGTTCCTCTGTGTTTGTAAGGATTTCATTGTCAGCGATGCATTGTAATACACAGTCATTGAATAGACACACATACACACTACACACACACACACACACAAAGAAAGAAAGAAAGAAAGAAAGAAAGAAAGAAAGAAAGAAAGAAAGAAAGAAAGAAAGAAAGAAAGAAAGAAAGAAAGAAAGAAAGAAAGAAAGAAAGAAAGAAAGAAAGAAAGAAAGAAAGAAAGAAAGAAAGAAAGAAAGAAAGAAAGAAAAAAAAGAAAGAAAAAAAAAGAAAGAAAGAAAAAAAGAAAGAAAGAAAGAAAGAAAGAAAGAAAGAAAGAAAGAAAGAAAGAAAGAAAGAAAGAAAGAAAGAAAGAAAGAAAGAAAGAAAGAAAGAAAGAAAGAAAGAAAGAAAGAAAGAAAGAAAGAAAGAAAGAAAGAAAGAAAGAAAGAAAGAAAGAAAGAAAGAAAGAAAGAAAGAAAGAAAGAAAGAAAGAAAGAAAGAAAGAAAGAAAGAAAGAAAGAAAGAAAGAAAGAAAGAAAGAAAGCTACTGAACGTACATAATTTTGTAATAATTTTGACATTCTAGTTCTGCAATTTAATACAGGCGTAATACAGCACTATAATATAGTTGTTTACGTTGACCAGCATATACATCATTTATTATTTATAAATAAATTTCGTGATTTAAAGCGTCTCTATGTTTCAAACATTGTTTTAGATTTCATTTTCTATAATGTATCGTATGATATGAGATAACAACATTTGAATTAGAATAAGTTTTAAAAAAATAGTAAAGATCCCTTTTCATGCCATAGGCGCATCGGGCATATGGGAAGAGCACCCATATTTTCAAAGCCCATTCATCACTTTTAATTAGAATAGTAAGAGAAAATAAAAATACTCTTCTCATACTTGTATAATTCAACATCCAGTTCACTATTTCGTGGTCTCTCTCTCTCTCTCTCTCTCTCTCTCTCTCTCTCTCTCTCTCTCTCTCTCTCTCTCTCTCTCTCTCTCTTTCACACACACATGCACAGAGAGAAATAGAGTTTTAAACAATATCACTCATTAAAAAAAAAAATCAGATTATTAACAGGCTAAACTTATCCCTTCAGCCTGTTTCATACTCATATGAAGTAAAAGCGGCCTACATTTTAATGAGTGACATTTTTAAAATTGCTCACAAGTATAACTCAAGGTTCAGTCAATCAATTGCAGTTATTTGCATCTGTGTCATTAGTAGTTTTTAAGTGTACAGCGTTTTCCGTCCATGAGGAAAGATGCACCACTGAAAAACTATACATTTCTTTCATGTGAGCGTGTGTATGAACAGTGTACGGTAGAACCTTGCGTAACGAGCACGTCTTATAACGAGTAATTCGCATAACGAGCAAAACAAATTGTAAAAGAATGACTTGCTTAACCAGCGACGTTTCGCATAACGAGTGGCGAGAAGAGGGGAAGTCCCAGATTGTGCGCATGTTACATCAGTCCGTGTTTAGCTCTCGTTCCAGTAGCAATGTAGTGTCGCTTGTGATCACACATTTTCTCAAACTTGTGTTATATGTGCATGAATAAACATTAATTTAATTAATTATTAGGAAGATAATTAGGAAATAGATTTGTAATTTTTGTGTGTGAAAAGTTTAATAAAGCATTGCAAAAATTTCCCCAAAGAAAAAGCAGCAAGAAAACAGCCATAAGAGAGTAAAAATAACCATAGAAATGAAACATCAAATCATTGAAAAGCGAGAACGAGGTGTAAGCGTGGCTGATCTAGCACGCACATACAATCGGTCTATATCAACGATTTGCACTATCCTCAAGAACAAGGACAAATTTAAGGAGATAGATGCTTCACAGAGAGTGACAAGAATATCTGTGCAACGGATATGTATTCTCGACAATGTTGAAAGGTTGCTTCTCATATGGATAAATAAAAAGCAATTGCTAGGTGACACTATTACCGAGAACATCATTTGTGAGAAAGTGAAAATGATTTCGCCGACCTCGTTAAGACGCTAGGATCATCAACGGCCGTTGATTAAGGGAAGCCGTGGGTGGTTCAAGAAGTTCAAGAGGTGAACCGGCATCCACAGCGTTGAGAGGCACGATGAAGCAGCAAGTTCCGACACAAAAGAAGATGAGGACTTCATCGGCGATTTCAAGAATTTCGTAGATTCTGAAGGTTACTTGAAGCAACTGGTTTTTAGTTGTGACGAAACAGATCTCTGCTGGAAAAAGATTCTGAAGCAAACGTATAAAACAGCAGAGGAGAATGCATTGCCCGGCCACAAGCCAATGAAAGCTCGTCTCACGTTGTTATTCTGTGCCAATGCAAGCGGCGATTTGAAAATCAAACCGCTGCTTGTTTACCATTCAAGAACTCCACGAGCCTTAATAAATGCAAAATCCAGAAGAGAAGGCTAAATGTGATGTGGAGATCCAACAGGAAGGTTTGGGTGACACGTAACCTTTTTTTACTGATTGTACAAGAATGTGTTTAGTCCTTCTGTGACAAATTATTTGCTTTAGATGGATCTGCCACTCAATGTCTTGCTTGTAATGGATAACGCTCCTGCCCATCCTCCAGGCCTACAAGATTACCTCGCTGAAGAATTTAAGTTAATCAAGATCCAGTTTCTGCCTCTTAACACCACTCCGTTTCTCCAGCCCATGGACCAGCAAGTTATTTCTAACTTTAAGAAGCTCTAAACTAAAGCACTCTTCGCGCCTTGTTTTCAGGTGGCTGCAGGGATCAACCTCACTCTCAGAAAGTTTTAGAAAAATTACTTCCACGTCGTTGCTTGTTTCAAGATGATCGACAAGGCGTAAGAAGGATTTACGAAGAGAACTCTAACTTCTGCTTGGAAGAAGCTTTGGCCGGAGAGTGTTGTCAAATGTAACTCTGAGGGGTTTAAGACAGAACCTGTGGAACCTGTAGTAGTCAACGAGATTGTGTCGTTGGCCACTATCATTGGATTAGGGGTGGGTAACAGTGATATCGAAGAGCTTGTGGAAAAGTACAGCCAAAAGCTGACCACCGAATAGCTTATGGAGTTGCACTGTGTTTCACAGCAAGAAGATTTGGAGGAAAATTTGTCGATGAGGAGGAGGAGGTAACAGAAAAGCAACAATCTTCTGGCAAAATAAGAGAAATGCTGAAAGCATGGGAAACTGTTGCATCTAACATTGAGAAGCATCACCCTAATAAGGAAGTTGCAATGCGCGCTGCAAAATTATTTTATGATATTGCTGTGACGCATTTTCGCCAATTTTTGAAGCGTCGGTATGTATGTATGTATGTATGTATGTATGTATGTATGTATGTATGTATGTATGTATGTATGTATGTATGTATGTCTGTCTGTCTGTCTGTCTGTCTGTCTGTCTGTCTGTCTGTCTGTCTGTC